TTCTGAAGCTTTTCTGCAGAGAACTGTGACAGGGGATGAAACATGGTTCCGATCCCGAGGACAAAATCCAATCAAAGCAGTGGCTGCCCAAAGGTAGAAGTGGACCAGTCAAAGCAAAATCTGAGCGTCTTATAGGATGTAGTGGGGATATTGTAGGTTGACTTCCTCAAGAGCAAGACAACATTATATCTGCATATCATGAATGCGTTTTGAGGAAACTGTAAAAAAAAAAATCCCTGGAAATCTACATCAACGCATACACTACAATCGCAACCATGCACCCGCAGACAAGAGCTGTGCTACGTGAATTTCGATAGGAAATCGTCCGACATCCACCTTACAGCCCCGATTTAGCCCCATCCGACTTCTTTTTGTTTCCAAAATTTAAAAAATCCTTGAAATGTATCATGGTTCAGATCACATGACCCTCAGTTTTACTCAGGCGGACTTAAAGGCTGGTATCATTGTTTGCAAAAATGTATTGACCTTAAAGGAGCATCTGTTGAAAAATAAACATCATAACTGAAACTGTTTTTTCATACTGTTCTTTTTCCACGAACTTTTTGAAGCCCTTCGTATATATATATATATATATCCCCTTGGTACCGGGTATGACGTGTACGTACGTGCTATGCCCACAGTGAGTGCTTGTTTGATTGTTTTTACGCATAGATGGCAACACTTGTAATAATTCCCCAATGAGCCAGTTCCGAGCACCGCCCGTCTCGCCCGTTTACTCGTTTCTTTGATTTACAAAATATTTTACATAGTCTTATTTTGCTGTTACTAATGTTTTAAAAAAATTATAAAAATTATAATGTTTATGACAAAAATAACACCATCGATTTTCATAACACTAGTGAAAAATACGTTTTTCCCGCCATTTAAATCAGGCGCTAGCAGAGCCATCTATCGGCAGACATTTCACGAAAAACATAGAAAGTGGGCACAATATTTTCCCCATTTTTTGTTCATTTTCCCCGGCACCATTGGGTTATATATATATATATATATATATATATATATATATATATATATATATATGAGAGAGAGATTAGAGAGGGGAAGAGAGAGAGAGAGAGGGGGAGAGAGAGAGAGAGAGAGAGAGAGAGAGAGAGAGAGAAGAGAGAGAGAGAGAGAGAGAGAGAGAGAGTGAGAGAGAGAGAGAGAGAGAGGGAGAGAGAAAGAGTATCATTTACATTTTTTTGTTACTGGGTCAGACAACTTGTATTTCTTCTTAAAGCTGGCTGTGGCACTGTTAATTAAACTTTTATATTATATCTCTGACACTACGAGTGGGATATAAAGCCCTTATATTAACAATTTAATATATGGCTTAAACATTAGTACACAAGGAAGGAGATGTAAAAAATTCTTGTAGAAATAGATAATAATAATAGATATCACGACATTCAACAAAGTCACATGCTAGTGTTACTAATTTTTTTTATGATTCTGAAAGAGAGGCCTGGTGTTTAGCATAATTTTAGCGTCATGAATTCCAGTAAGAAAAGAGTAGACAAAAAAATCGACTGGCTTAGAAGAGAAACTCACTTGGAATTTCACCATTATGTCCACCTGTGTTTAGTTATCAACTTCCCTTTCTTTGTGCGATTCTCTTCCATTAAAGGCAGGATCTCAGCGGATGTCGAAGCTTTGTGTCATATGAGAGAACATACCCCGCTGATGAACAACACAAATAGACAGGATAAAAGATCGTCGTTCATTTTATAACTTAAGCTTTCTTAAGTGTTCTGCAAAGGGCAGAAACTAATCCCATTGAAATCACAGATTTTAAACATTTCTTTAACAGAATTTTTTTATATACAAATTATGAGAATTATGCATGATTTTGTCTTATTTGTATACTGTGCCTTGCCCAAGTGATTCTTTACTTCTACACACAAAAAAAAAATCAAAATAAGGTTTATGTAAGAAAAACGATACAGTGCAAACATTTATTTTCCTGCAAGGGAAGAAAATATATAGTTTACCATAAAAATTATTTATTTTCTTTCTTGAATCATGTTTCAAAGCAAGGACTATTACAATGTTATTATTCATAAAGCATTATAATGTTAATAACAGATTCTAGAGATTTTCTCAACTACCAAAGTCAATAATAAAAGAAACAACTATTCAAAATAGTTTGTAGAGCGTCTGCAATTAAGAGAACATAAGTAATCTGATATTTTTTTACGAAAGTACGTAAATTGCAAATCACAATTTCCATCTGCTTGAAATATATAAAAGAAAAAAATGACAGCCATTCATTATAAACACTTACTTTCATTCTACTTAGATGATCATCAACTTCAATTGTGTGTCCCATCTATTGTGTTCAATAAATTCATTTATTTTCATTTTACGCCGTGTATAATGCAATCGGTTAACCCCACTTATTCATCATATATCCGAATGTATTATCATAAACTCTATATATTTTCTCACAGAATAAATAGAATAGTTTCCTCCAAAATGATACGGCCGCATGTGAAAAAGATGAGTTGCTGAATGAGAATGAATAGTTGCACAAGGTAAGCTGTATCAGCTCATGGTGAAGGCAAGGTACAGTACTTGTGTTCGAATATTATCTACACTTACTAAGATATGTTTCTGAGGAGGTACCTTGAGTAATTATCAGCTAATTACAAGATATTTACTATGAATGTTTCTCTATAGTTACAGTTTTGCTTCACTGACGTCCCCGTGAATCCTTCCCGCTTTTCAGTACTGACGAACTAGAGAGAATAAATTAGAACTGAAAAAATAGTTTATTAGAATTATGAACATACGTACATGCAACTGCTTTTAGAGAAAGTTATCCTCACACACAGCTCCCCCCCCTCTTTCTCTCTCTTTCTACACACACACACACACACACACACACACACACACACACACACACACACACACACACACATATATATATATATATATATATATATATATATATATATATATATATATATATATATGTATGTATATATACATATATATAAATATATATATGTGTGCACACACACACACACACACACTCACATATATATACATATATAAATATATATATACATAGGCTTTGGAGCCGGGGGGGAGAGGGGGCGCGCGCCCCCCCCCACTTTTTGGCCCAGGGGGGCCAAGTGCAGTTAGCTAGTTACTACACACAGGTTCATCCACTAGCACGTCACTACAGCAGCAACAGGATTCAGTCCCAGACCTTTTGATCCCTGTACATGCTATACCGGGTATTGAGATGGCCTTATGACATATTTTGATAAGATACACCAGCCGAGACACTTAGCCAGTACTGTGGCTTGGAACCAAGCACCTATATACACATCCATGGCATTTGTTGTATGCTGTACCACCATGAGAGGACAAGGAGGGTTAAGTACCATAGCTCAGTGGCGATTTGTTACACTGTTATTTAGAGACTAGCATCACCGACTTTAATAAAAGAATGCCTTGGGGTTGACAATGAAACTGCATTGTGTCAGTCCAATTAAATTACTGTGTGAGGGGGACACCCCCACCCACACCCACCCCCTGTCGGGCGCTTACGCGCCCTCGAATTGAATTCACTCGCAGAAGTGCGCCCCCCCACTTTCAAAATCGCTCCAAAGCCTATGATATATATATATATATATATATATATATATATATATATATATATACATATGTATATATATATACATATATATATATATATATATATATATATATATATATATATATATATATATATACATATATATATATATATATATATATATATATATATATATATATATATATATACATACACACACACACACACGAACACACACACACACACACATATATATATATGCAATTATATGTATGTATATCTGTCTATCTATGTAGATAAATAGATAAATCGATATAGATATGTAAGGTGTATATGTGAAACCATATATGCGTGTAAGCACTTTGAAACTGTGCAATATGAATACCGAAAATACACATGCATGCCTAGGACCGTCGAGATACGACATATTCGATATTCGAACATTAAATTATTCTTCCTTGACATTACACTTGCACTTCCGCGCCTCTTCGCTGCGCCACAGCCATCTTTTCGAGTCCGTCCCGGTACATGTCCGACTCTGCGAACCGGTTATTAGCATGATCACTGATCAGCAGCTATGTGAAATTCATTTCTGTGTTATGAAGTTTACATGTTCTCAAATATTGAGAAATTCAAAGCCTGTTTTCATTATTTGTTACGACAGTGGAATGATATAATGTGTATATATCTCCACTTCATATTGCATTTCAGTATTCTTAAACTGAAATGGTCATAAACAAAAATTGTACTGTGAAAGTGTCCTTACATTATATGAGCAAAAATGCGAAAGATACTTTCAATGACATTTATATCACACAAATAGATCGTGTTGGCTCTATCAATGGTTATTGCATAAATGACGTCCGTCGAAGAAGACGCAAGATACAGAATGATTTTATGGAATATATTGTTTGTATAACAAACGCTCGAACACATTTGCATGCACACACGAAGCAGATCTCTCTTCCGCAGAACAGCCATCACACTGGTCATCACGAGAGGCAAGCCTGGCCGCTCCGATGATAGTCATTCCTCGTCTTGGGAAGCGCACCGCCACACGCGGCGCCTTGCGACGACTCCTCATCACTTCCGCTGTAAGGGCCGTCATAACTCATGAGGATGGAAGAGTACTGCAGCCTCGGCTGAGCCACGCTGATCTGAGTCACGTCAGTGCCATTGCTGATCATGCTCTCCGTGTTCCTCTTCCGCGCGGTGACGTCGTGAGCCTGGATCTTAACCTTGTTGTGCTGGTGGCACCAGGCCAGGAACAGCACCACCGCGACGCCTATGAACACGAAGAGCACCACAACTGCCCATGTGATACTGCTGGTTGCTCCCACGTGGCTGTGCGGCTCCGTAGGGATCAGGCGCGACGCCACCTCGTTCGCCGGAGACCCTGGGGATGGCCAGCATTTGTTATTCAGGGCCTTGTTAGTGTACGCACTGATTTTTTGATGATGCATGGGTCTGAACGATAGCAATGTCTGGGATTTGGATGAAACATTACTGAGTAGAAAGGAAACTTCATCTACGTTATTAGGAAAAAAATGTGATTATGTATTTATACCGTAAACATAGATTATGAAACCATGGTGTGGGTATATATATATATATATATATATATATATATATATATATATATATATATATATATATATATACATATATATATATATATATATATATATATATATATATATATATATATATATACATATATATATATATATATATATATATATATATATATATATATATATATATACATATATATATATATATATATATATATATATATATATATATATATACATATATATATATATATATATATATATATATATATATATATATATATATATATATATATGTATATGTATATATATATTATACATACATGTATCTATCTATCTATATATATATATATATATATATATATATATATATATATATATATATATGTATGTATATATATATATATGTGTGTGTGTGTGTGTGTATATGTATATATATATATATATATATATATATATATATATATATATATATATATATATATATATATATATATAATCTTAAAATAAACTCACCAGCGAGGCATTCCAGATCGACATCGACCACGCAGGTCCTAATGCAAGAGGCTGCCACATGATCCACCTGACTGAGATCGACGTCGAAAACCGAGTCGATCGAGTAACTGACTCTTCCCGCCGAGGCCGAGAGCGAGAGCATCAGCTTCGAGGTCTTCCTCTGCCAGTCGAGGACGACGGTGTTCCAGGTGTTGGACGCGAAGAAAACCAGGAGAGAGGAAGCTCGCGTTTGCTGGAACTTTATTTCCAGGTTCATCATCACTATGTCGTTGTGCTGGAAGTGATTTGAAAGGCTGAATGAGAAAGTTTCCCCAGAACTGTTGTTTCGTTTTCTTTCTTGAGAAAACGGAATGCTTGAACGGAGTGACTATAAGCAGTAACTCATTAATTCATGATTCGAAATCCATGAATTCTCGCTTATTGGAATTTAGCATTAATGGATACATAATCTGCCGCAAGGCCATTTGATGCTTTAGTTTTATTGCATCTAAACTAGTTTATGGCAATCAAAAGACTGAATTTCTGTTACAGTTTAATTTGTGAACAAGACCATTTTCATCACACGAATCAATATAGTGTTAAATCTACCTCAATGCTATGATAAATGATCACACTCCACAGCAGTTATTTTTGTACGCTCCATAAAACTGACGAAATAAAACGAAAAAAAAGAAGTTACCCTCAACATTGACGATACTTGTAATCTAAGAAATAAATAAAAGACAGTGTTTTTTGTAACTGATTAGATATCAGGAAAAAAAGACTAAGAATTTTATCCCTAAAGACCAAACAACACCTAGGATGGTTGCTTCATTTGAATTCCTGAGCTCGTCACGCCATGTGTTTTATTTTCAATGAATGAATGGCCACACAAAGCCGCGTCGATTCGACCGTGTTAAGCCGCTACACAGACGGGAAGAAGGTGATATTATCTTTCCGGAAATCCGCGTCGCTTCCGCCAAGATGGCTTGTTTTGGTTCTCGGTTTCATTTGCACCTTTTGATGTTCATAACGCGTTCAGTTACTCCCATTTTGTATACGTTGCATGGTTAATAAAGTATCGGAAGCTAAAGATGATACTAATTTCAAATGAGCCAAATATATATATACAGATAGATAGATAGATAGGTGGATAGATATGACTATGTGTATATATATGCATTACTCCTTAATTTCTTTATTTACCATTTTTTACATTTACATTATCATCATTACCATCATGGTAACATTACTATTATCATTACTATTACCATTATTGTTATATTCAGAATTGTTAGCATAACTTTAATCATTATTGAAAATCTGATTATCATAACAAACTTTATTACCACATTCATCATCATATTTATAATTATTGTTAGTTACCATCAATGTTGTTATTGGCTGACTCAGTATCACAAATGATTACAAATGATTTCATTCCCTGTATTATCAATAACATTATTATTATTAATTGTAGCAGTAACAGTGATATTATTAGTATTAGTATTGGTATCATTACTTTATCATTATTATTATTATTGTTATTATTATTATTATTATTATTACTATTATTATTACTACTATTAAAACTGCTACTACTACTACTACAGCCACTTTAATTATCATCATTATTCTTTTGATTACTATGATTATTGTTATCATTATTTTCAGTGTTATCATTATTATTCTCTTATTATAATAGCTATTATTATAATTATTATTATTATTATTATTATTATTATCATTATTACTATTGTTGTTATTATTATTATTATTATTATTTTTATCATTATTATTATTATTATTATTATCATTATTAGCATTATTATTGTTAGCATT